AAAAATAATATTTGCGCAAGATAGTCTTTCATATAATCAAGATTGTCTTGCGCCAATATTCAAGTAATGCAGATATACCTCTTATGTAAATCAGTATTTAAGCGTCTGGCTTTTTTTCTTTTAGCAGTCTACGAAGTGAGGAAGTAAAAAGAACTCATCCACGGGGCATTCCACAACAAATAATCCCTACTAAATTTGTAAAGTTACATGCCTTTTAATTAGGACTAAAATTCTCGCATTGCTTGTTAAACTCAAAACGTTTCAGCCGTTCCCAGCCCTTTTTCAGGTGACTATCTTCATACTCAATAACCACTTATTCAATCCAGAGGCATAGATTACTTTCATCCCAACTTGCATGATTAGGGGATATTTCATGCCAGTTCATATCTACAGTATCCCTTTTACCATTTTATCGCGTGTCCGTTTTTATCGTGGATTAATTAACGTGTTCAGTTAAATATCTCCGAGTACGAAGGCAGGCACCCTAAAGAAGGCGGGGATATAACAAAGGCGAAAAGTTGAGAGTAAAACAACTGAGATTAGCATGCTGATTCATATAATAAGGCAAACATTAAAGCTAATCCCTTGTAAAATAAGCTTGTATTTGTATTTGTGTGTATTTGAAGGATGTATAATAGCAACCGAAACAAAAGTGAATATGATGGCACAAAGTAGAAAATTTATAAACGACTCGTTTCACAGAGAGCCTCTTCTCTCTCAGTGTTTGTCTTTCTTTCATTCTAAGCTGAAGAGTTTAGAATAAAAGAAAGACAAAACTGTATGTGAGGAAAAATGTGTTGTCATCTCTGAGGATAAGTGGGGACCATAAATCAAATTAAATTACCTTATCATTTGCAATGCCCAGACACAAGAGAATCTCTGTTTGCCTGTTTCATTGTTTGTTTTATTTTAATACCTATATATCTATATTAAATGTTCTTAATATATTTAACTCTTAGCGAGATATCCTTACATTTTCTAAACATTTTTTTAAAATTAAAAGAAAGAAAAAAAAAACGTATACCACGACTTATTTTAAAGAAAAACAAATATGAACAAAAGATTACAAAAATAGAATACTGTAAATAAATACATATATTATAATATAATATATGAAAACAAAGAAAAACATAAGAATAATGGATGATTAAAAGTAAAACAATCAAGGCTTTTTTGCGACCCCCCCAAAGTTCGTTTACTCTGACATCAGCGTTAATATTTGATTACTCTGACATCCAGTGTAATACGTGCATATATATATATATATATATATATATATATATATATATATATATATATATATATATATATATATATATGCGGGGCTATGTAAAGTACCAGGTTGAGAACTGGCGCGGGCTAGCTGCCCTTGATGAGGGTGAAAGGAGTCTCTCTGAGCTTTGGTTAACAATTCCTTTAATGTTGGTTTAACGATAAAAAGACTTCAGATGAGAAGGAAAACTCATGACAGCTTAACTCGGTCATTATATTGCATGTGTCTGACGAGAGGCGTGTACTGGCTGGTATTGACTGTGATCCGGAGAGGTTAAATTCCGCGATAATCACACATAAGGACTGTCGTTCGGAGTTTCCGTGGCAAGTCTTTTGCACCGTTACATTTTTATCGACAGACCCAAAAAGTGTGGATCGTCCGCACAATCCTTCACTACTTGAAACAAATTGTGTTGGTTTTCTGACAACTACATCTAATTAGTTCCACACATATCCGGCTACTGCGAAAAACTCTACGAAACATCATCAACTTCATCTTGGCACTTGGCATGTACGAACTCTCCAGGACAACAACTCAGCACCAGAAAGAAAAACAGCTCTGGTCGCATTGGAGCTAAAGAAGTACAACATTGATATAACTGCACTGAGAAGTAACCAGCAGTCGACATGAAACGAGAAAGCAAAGTAAGACAGCTATCAGTGTTCCTGCTGCACGTGGATACAATATATTCTCCTGTTTGTGGACTTTTGTGCAAATCTCAAGCCGGTCTCATAAGTCATGCCCGTCATAGGCATGCAGATAATTAGTTCGTGGTCATCGGAACCTCATACATCGAACTCGATGAGAGAGTCCATCATATATCTATATTAGAGCCGTTTCGTAACGGATTTTAAATCAGCCCACTGAGACTAGAGAATATTTTATGTACATACTTGTATATTTTGTAATTCTGATTGCTGCTTTTGAAAAGTGCCTCCACACAGTGATTAGCAGGGACAGGGCTTGTAAATTTTAACACCTCCCTCTTCCCCACCCCCACAAAAAACTGCTCTCATTTAACCACCATACAGAAACTTTTCTATCTGCCATTAGCATTTCTGACGTTAGACTCCCGGAAAGCAAAACGCTGCGCCTTCTTAGCCTCACGTTTTCCACTGAGTTGCTCCACTTAAACTACATTGAATCAATAGCTCCATCTACTGCCTAGAAAGTTGAGTCAATGTATAGTGACAGAGAATTTTTCTCGTCAGAGTCCATGTTGCATATTTACAAATCTACCGTTCACCTGTGCATTGAATAGTGATACCATATCTGGTCTGGTGCTCCTGCTACTCATCTCGAGGATATTGACAAAATCCAACGAAGGATCTGCAATGTAATCGATACTGATTTAGCATTTCGACTACAGTCACTTCTCACCGACTTGGCTTTCCTCTGTCTTTTCTATAAATATTTTTATGGCAACTGCTCTGACAAGCTTGTTTTTCGGCACTCGACTACATGAATTTAAGCGTGCTACAAGGCTGATTTTTGAAATACAAGTATTGCATAACATAGTCAGTGTCAACTTCATATTTGTTCAATTGATAGTCGTCAGCTGCATCGTTGAGATATGAAATTGTATAAAATGGATTTGCAAAACTAATGATGTAGCTGACGTATTCACAGCTGACACCATTAATTATCCAAATATGTTTGATTGTGTTACGGTTTTTTGTGTAGATATTTATGTAACTAGTGAGCGAGTCAAAATGAGTTAATTCCCTTTATAGCCGACCAATAGAAGGTTGACCAATCAGAAGCCGCACAACACTGTATCCGTCGTGTATAAAGGCGGCCATCTTTGTTTTTCCTCCGGAAGGACCAGAGGCAACTTGTCCGGCGAACATGACATACGGAAGAACTACGCTCTGCTACTTTGCTGCGATATCCACTGCGAACCTGCACTACGCTTTCCTACTGTCTCCGAAATATTCACTGCCAACCTCTGGATTCTATACTCGAGGACGACCGTCATGAAAATGTCTAACAGATTGTACTGCCAACTATGTTCCCATTGAGTATTTCACATGCAGGGCCTGTGCACACGCTGGATACTCGGGAAGAAAAGAAATAATTGACAGATCTTTCAGTTTCTGGAGATTTTTCTGTATCATGGCTCTACTTTTTTTCCCAGCTAGACATCCTTAGTCTTGATCCTTCTATCAACTTCTTCATCTTCTTGGTGCTGCATCTTCTTCAGTCCAGTCTGCTGTAAATCATGGCCAACTGAAAGTACTTCTGGAAATACTCGGCATCCAGATCATCAATGAAATTCCTTACTTTTCCGTTTGGCCTTGATGACATCACTTATACTGGATACATAAGTGCAAGCTTCTTTCACAAAATTCACCGATGATGCTTTCAGCTAGCGTGATCCGCTGCCTCACCAATATTAACAGTGACTTGGAAGAAGCCTCTACCGTGGTGAATGATTTTTCATACTTCCCGCTTAAAACTTTCAAAATCTTTTTTTAACAGGCAGTCATCATTTGTCGAAACATGAGTTCATTTGTGGGAACAATCAGTAAGGACTCTATCACTTTCTTTGATAATGGATTTCCAAAGAAGTCTTTTGTGGAAACGAAAATAGACATGGGATCCTCGCTGAGTACCTTCATGTTGTCAATGAATCCTTTGGCGGTGTTCGTTGTGTCGATGGGGTGATTTTGTGTTTTAGAGAGGTGAAGAAAGTACTCATCCAAGGCCCTGATGACATTTCCCTATGATTCCCAGCACTTGCATCTCGATAGGGACGTCTACCGTAAATGCCTGCTGAAACCTTGTGATTGTTTGATTTTTTGAGGAAGGTCCCAAGACAAATTGCTTGCACTGTCCGAAAATGTGAAAGTAATTTGCATGAAAAATTATATGTAAACGATTCCATCGGAATCTAGTGATTAGAGACAATGGAAGCTCTTGTTCAATAAAGGTTTTCATTGGATTAATAAACCCTAATTGATCACTGAATTTGAGGGAATTCATGCCTACAATAATTCGCCATACTAGTCACTCACTCACATTGAAAGCTTTTGTTGTACAGGTCTCACAATCCCTTAGGACCGTCCTAGATTGACAGGAACCCGGTCTGTTAAGCAGCTTTTTATTTTCGAAGTTTTTCAAACTGGCAGCAACACTTATGCCAGTAGACAGTGAGCCTACTTTAGTTAAGTTGTTGATGCAGTCACAAATATTCTGCTTGTAGTCCTGAGCAGTCCCTCCAGGAAGTCGTTCCAGCAATACACAAAATGAGATGATAATGGTGTTCTTAATACCAAACAGTTCACGTGGTTCCCATCTGGTGTCGTTGAATCGAAAACTAAATTGTAGTTTTCTGCATTTTGCACTGCATTGAACGTCTTGACATCTGAAAGGAAGCCAAGCTCCCCCACCATTCTGTAAACTGTTGTTGAACTTCAAACAATCATCTTCCAGCGACAATATTCCCAAAATATTTTGCACAAAATACTAGAAGTAGGAACGCCACCCAAAAAGACAGTCATAATGGAGTTTCCTGCTAACGAAACGGTTTTCACAATTTTTTTTCTTTTTTATTTCTTTATTTTTTTGAAGTGATATTATTTTCTTGTTTTTTTTTCAATGTGTTTTTCTGTTTTTCTTTTTTAATTTTCGAAAATGAGTGGAAGATAAACACTTGGAAAATTTTGAATTTGAGGATGAATCAAGGGTTTCAGTTGCAGCAGACACAGTTTCATTTGCAACAGACAGGTTTGCCGCAGACATGGTTGCAGCTGCCGTAGAAATGGTTGCAGCAGAAAGGTTCGGACTCGCAGAAGAAAGGGTAGCACATGCAACAGACAGGGTTGTATTTGAAGCAGATGGTTTGTTGTTTTAACTGGGGAGGCGGTTGAAGATGCATTAGAAGATGGGATAGAAGCCGATCTCTCAACAGAATGGAATATCATTTTTTTTATATTTTGGGGGAAAATCCGAGATTTTTTTCCGAATTTCTATTTTTGTAGAATGCCCAACCGAATTAAATGAAACTAGCTGGAAACCATTTCTGGCATTCTTCAATGTGGTTTATGCTGGTATTTTCTGTATTGTTCCACATTTTTTGAGAAATTTATCAAAAATATGGCCACAGAGAATCGGTTGTCCACTTTGGATGCAGCTATATGCTTTCAAAATTATGTCTGTCTCCCCATCTAAAATTTAAAAAAAAATTAAATACTGAAAATTAACACATTGATCTGAAATCTTTTTTAATAATTAAAATATTCTTTAGACATTAATAGTTAATAAACTTTAATTAGCTAAAAAACATTTGTGAGCAATCGATGTTGAAAACTATTCAAAATTAATAAAAAGAATGAGAAAACTATTTTCAAATAGGAATAAAATAAAGTATAGAAATAATTAAATTGATTAAACATTAGCTTTAAAGTTAAATAAAACGTCTTTCTTTATTAAAAGTAACTGTCATTAAAAAGAATAAACTGAAAAAAGTAAAAAAAAAAGCTACTAAGAAACAAAAAAACATTTTTTTTTGTTTCTTCTTAAAAAAGTTAAACTCAAATATGACTCAATTGGAGTATGATGCACATTAAAATAAATGCATAAAATAAAAATATTTAGTGAAATAGAAATTAAAAAAGGTAAAACTTACTTAAAAATATTATAGTAAAACGACGTATATTAAGCTTTTCAATTTTGGATTCGTAAATTTCGTTTCCACTTAATTACAGTATCACCTAAAAGAAAGAAAGTAATGCAGAATTTTAAACGATTTTTAAATTATAAATTATTATAATTAAAATGTTAAAAATTGAAAAATTCTTGTAAAAATTCATTATTCATTGAAATTTTTTTTTCTTTTTTTAAGAAAATAGTGTCCTTAATACAACCTATTTACAAAAGCATTTATAAAAGCCTTTGTAATTAAATAATGCCATAGTTTTAATACAATTTATAGTTTAATATTCGGGGCAGACTTTCAGTAAAAAGTAAAAGTTTGAAAAAAATTGGATGATTTACATTTTCCAAGGAGTACTACTTTTACCTAATAAAAAGTTTTGGAAAGAAAATTTAATTTCGAAATTTCATGAAACATAATCAAAAATATTTTTCCAGGATTTTCTAAAACAAAAAATTATAAAAATAATTCCATTTATTTATGAATAATTCCTGAAAGTTTCATTAAACTTCGACAATTATTTGATTTTTGCAAGAATTTCTAAATTAATGTGTTTTTCACCTGAAAATAGCGCTAAAAACATGTAAAATGGTAAAAATTACGTTTCGGTCTTACGTAAAAAAAAACAAGATTTTTAACCAAAATTGTGAACGTATTAGAAAGGTTTAAGAAATTTTTAAAAATAATTAAAAATACTTTTATCTTTTCTTTTAATAATAACATAAATATTTTTGCGATGAAACTTTGTTTTTATTAAGTCTGAGGCGCTTTTTTATCATGCTATGCTGTTTTTAGCGAACAAGTGGTGGTGTCTACAGTCTTTGGGTATTCTCTTCAAACTCCCCTATCCAATTCCTCCCATACCATTTCAATGGGAGAGAGGACAGAAGATTGAGGTGACCAAATCATAATTTCCAAAATGTTGTTCCTCTTTGGGGGAGAATTTTAAAATAATTTAGAACAGTCTTTTGGATCGTTGTCGTGTTGAAAGGTGATTTTTCCCCAATTATACGTAAACCAGACGGTAGAGTATGTCTTTGATGAATCCAAATTTGAACATTTTGGTAATAAGCGGAGCCTGGAAAGGGACCGAAAAATAAAAACAAATACACCGTAGTTACTTAAATTTTATCTTTTACTTTAAAAAAGAAATCTTCGTATTTTAAATGAATGAAGGGTGACTCCGAAACATTTTGCCTGTAGTGTACATATCACAAAATAGAATTACTTATATCACACGGTGAATTAAGAATGGAATCATTTGTGTTACAATGTCGCGAGACGTACAATATATATCAGATCATTGCAAAAGTTCGTGTCCGAATTTCATTGTTAATATAAAATGACCACAGCTTGACACTGGTGTTTTGTTTTGGTACCGTTTTGGTGCGTTCTAGAGTGAAACCTTACATGGTTCTGTTGCGAGTGAAACCTTGCAGGGTTCTGTTGCGAGTGAAACCTTGCATGGTTCTGTTGCGAATGAAACCTTGCATGGTTCTGTTGCGAGTGAAACCTTGCATGGTTCTGTTGCGAGTGAAACCTTGCATGGTTCTGTTGCGAATGAAACCTTGCATGGTTCTGTTGCGAATGAAACCTTGCATGGTTCTGTTGCGAGTGAAACCTTACATGGTTCTGTTGCGAATGAAACCTTGCATGGTTCTGTTGCGAATGAAACCTTGCATGGTTCTGTTGCGAATGAAACCTTGCATGGTTCTGTTGCGAGTGAAACTTTGTTGAATGTTTACGTTTTGTTCACAAAGGAAGGCCTTAAATATTGAGGATGAAAAGTTACACTTTCGCCATATTACGCTCCATGAATTTCGAAAAGAATATAAGCGTCGAAACTGCAACAAAATGCATCCGGAAGATTTATATTGAATTGTGCTCCCGCTCTTCGGACGGTGAAAAATTAGTTTGGCAGATTTCGCCAGGGTGATGTTAACTTAAACTATCAACCACACCCCCCGGCAACCTTACCTTACGACGTCGATAAAAACGCTCTGCTTGCCAATGTGTTGAATAAAATGAATATTTCGACAGAAGAGATAGCAATTTCTACTGTCAAAATATTGAAAATCGATATTTCAACTAACTTTCCCTATTAGACGGGTCTTGCATTCAAGCAAAAATCGGAGGGGCAAATCGAAAAGGTGCCATTTTCTACCACGACAATGCAAAAGTTTTGACACTATACAATCAGTCAAAACCTACCTCACAATATTCATTCTATGAAAATGTCATCAATAAACTCGAAGAACGATGGGAGACACTTGTTAAATATAACGGAGACCATGTACTTGATTAATAAATTTTTTTTTGTTTCTATATAAAATTTTGTTTTTAATTTTTTAATCTGGCACAAACTTTTGAAATAGTCTACAATTTATTACTATTTCTATTCTGTTTGTCACGATTTTCAAAAAGTGTCAATTTTTTAAGGGTTTATCTATATTTCTGAGATGAGGTATTTACACTATTGTTGGACTGTTGTCATCATCTTTTTTTGCTTATTCCTAACGTTTCAGCCGTATGAAAACAGTCTATCTGTGGATGACAATATATATATATATATATATATATATATATATATATATATATATATATGTATGTATGTATGTTAAAATATATATAAAAGATGGGTTAGTAGACAGTTTATGTTGAAACGTTAACGATACTGAGATGCTCAGTATTTACATCTTACATCCGATATATCAAAAAGCTAGTTTAACCTGTCTCATTCGTTTTTTTTAATTGTTATTGTTTCCATCCCATATCCAAACGTTGTAGTTTTCTGAGGAATGCTGATACTACCAGTAAATTTACTGTAGAGAATACTGAAATTAATGCACTTTGAATTCATTTTCGCCTTAATGAATTACATTTTCTTTTAATTAAAACAGCATTCTTTAGGCCGGAATTATGGTCCGACTTATTACGACAAACGCCCAGTGTATTGAATATCTTGTTGTGTAAAAGATCCCCTTTATGTTTATAAAAAACTTTCATTTACATTTCTACATGTCTTACTTATATATTTCATGTGAAATTGTTTGCAATGTCTTTTATAAACGGAAAATTTAATATTTTATTGTTAATAATGGCGGCAATATCAACCACATGATTTTTCAAACTTTTACACGAAATTAAAATAAGGTAGGATTTTATTTAATACTCGAACTGCTTATATATGCGCTAAAATTAATTCTTGATTTGCATAATTGGTATTTATACTTTTTTTAATCAGTATCACCCCATACAATGCAGTAATGCTACAAAAACACAAGGGATTACAGGGTGTGGAAGAATTAGGAACAGAAACATTAATGATGAGCTAGAAGAATAATCAGAAAGACAATAGATAGCGATTGATATTGCAATTAAATTTTGGAAGATTAATGTTGGCTGGAAAGCCTGGAACCGGAAGTGAGAAGTGAGAGAAAATAAACCATTAACATAGAATTTACGGTTACATTTAACCAGTTCAACTATAAATAGATGAGTTCTCCACGCCAGTGTAGTACTGCGCTTAAATTCAAAAAGTCTACGTACTATAACGAAGAGTTCATCCGAACAATTACTATGAAAGTATTTATAGAAAAGTCACAGGTAAGCTATATTATGGCGGTGTGAAAGTGACTGAAACTGAGCCAATAATATTGTTGATTCTTCTTGGGTTTAATAAATAGGAAAGAAAAAATATTTTAATGCATCTAGACTAGTTAGATTGGTTGGGTCCTTGAATACTGTTGAAGTAATGTTTATTGTTTAATTTTATGTTTTTCTTTTTTTTTGTAGTTGCTTTAGTCAGCCTGATGCCTGTGGTATAGTTGCTTATAAACGAAATGCTTATAAAGAGTCGTATATCATACACTCATTCACGTATAGATTTTGCTGTACATACGCACAATACACATGCATATACATGTAATCACATAGATATTAATTCATGCGCACATACACATGTAAACACATACCCATATTCCCATATTGAAAAAAGTCACAATATTTTTAAAATACGTTGATTTTGACGTTTCCAATTCGTAACTCGAAGCTGTTGGTAGTCCGTTTTCCTCAAGTTCATATACTACCATATCTCGTTGTTCCTGTAAAGTTTTTCAACTCAATGTCCGCTAATTATAAATACAGTGTAACCTGGATATAAGAGAGTTGTCGGGAGCGGAGAAGAAGTCTCTTATATCCGGGTTTCTCTTATATCCGGGTTT